ACACACACACACACTCTCACCAACACACACGGGCAGGGCTACCCTCACACTCACTTCCGACGCGTCTGAGTGATGTAGCAGACGATGGCAATGAGGATGGCAAAGGCCACCACGGCTCCCACCGGCCCGATCTTGGCCCACATCAGTCGGTCTGAGGACAGAGAAGGCCCACCGTGGGCACACCGCACCTTGTAGGTGACAGGTGGGGACCAGTGGGGGTCAGAGGATACCACCTTGGGACATCCTCGCACTGACTGCCCAGCCTGGAGACCCTGGCCTCCCTTAGTTGCTAAAGGGTCGTTGGGGGGTCGAGAGGGAAGTACCAAATCCACTGCCATTAAGCTTGTTCCTACAGGACTCTGGAGGGCAGAGTGGGACTGCCTCTTTGGGTTTGTGAGACTTTCCATCTTTACAGGCAAGGCCGGCAGCCTCGTCTTTCTCCCTGGTGACAGCTGGTAGCTTCAAACTGCTGATCAATGGTTAGCAGCTCAATGCTAACAGGAGGTCCGTGGGTGGGGACGGTTACATGACCCGATCAGCCTGCAGAGCGTGGGCCCAGGTGGCCGGCCGTGAGGAGAGGGACTTGGACGCAGGAGGCACTCACGGGCTCCCTGGAAGGGAAGCTCCAGGCTCTTGGTGCCATAGAGGTTCCGGGCGGTGCAGATGACCCGGGGCGGGGCCTGGGCCTGCCCGCGCAGTGTCAGGATGCTAGTGAGCAGGGGGCCGCTGCGCTCCGAGTACACGAACTCCCGCTCCGTCTCGTTCACTGTCACATTGCGCGAGGGCAGCTCAAAGGCCACGGCGGGCTCAGGGTTGGCCTTCACCACGCATAGGCACTGCACGGTGTCGCGGGCCGCCGCACAGTGGGACTCCAGGAGGATCATGGGGGCAACTGCAGAGGCAAGGCAGAGAGTGGACTGGAGGCAGAGGGGGCGGGCCTCTGGGGACACCTGTCCTCCAGAGGTGAGCTGTATTTCCTACACCTTGGGGAGGCTTGCTCAGTCCCTCGGTGGGGTCCCCTTTACAGAGCTTGGGGCTCCAACTGTCCCTCGTGTCACTGGGGAAAAAAGCCCAGCGCTCTGCCCTAGCCTACAGGGCTCTGCAGGCCTTAGCTACTCATCGCCGCCCACCCTTGGGCATCGTTTCCATCTCCCAGCTGTGCCCCAAACTGCTGCCACTTGGTTTCCATCCCGGGGTCTCTGTGTTTCCCCTTCCACTTCCCAGACGGGCCTGCTAAGCCTCCTCCCTCCCTCGGGGCCAGTCTCTGGTCCAGTGACATCTCTTTCCCTCACTACCACATACAAATCGAACCCTGCTTCTCTCTGCTGCCCTGGTGTTAAAAGGTTGGTGGTTCAAACCCACCAGTCTCTCTGTGGGAGAGAGATGGGGCTATCTGCCCCCATCTCAGAAACACTAGATAGGGGTGCTATCAGATGGACTCCACTGGATGGCCGTGGGCTTGGTTTTGTTTTGTTTGTTTTTTTGTCTCACGGGGGCAAACAAATCCTGGGGTGGGGGGTTGGGGGAAGCCAGCCACTGAAAACCCTATGGTGCCCCAAGAGTCGTCCTGAGTTAGAATCAAGGGGACAGCAAGTGATTCTTCATGTCCCGGCCAGGCCTCTCTGTGTGATCTACTGCGATCGCCGGTCTCATATTTGCAGGAAGACAGGATTTCCCTCTGGCTGCCTCCACTCTGCCCCCACATTAGAACTCCCCTTTTTCACGCAGCGCTCCAAAACTCAATACCATCAAGTTGATTCTGACGCATCGTGAGTCTACAGGACGGGAGAACTGCCCCTGTGGGTTACAAGATTGTAACTCTTTACGGGTGTAGAAAGCCTCATTTTTCTCCCGAGGCATGTCTAGTGGCTTCGAACTGCCGACCTTGTGGCTTGCAGCTCAAGGTGTACCCCCACTACGCCATGAGGACTCCTTCATGTAGGGCAGGAGCTCCGTAAACACTTGACGGGTGCAAGGGTGGACAAAGTCTCCCCACCCTTAGTCGTGTCAGGCTCCGAAGGTCTTCTCCATGGGCATTGGGCTCCTTGCAGTCTGCCCTGTAGGTGCCGCTGCTGACCCCCTAATGCCACCTCCAGTCGTACTTCTCACAGAGGTCCCCCAGGGGGCAGCTCACACCCAAGGCCATTTTATCGAGCACTGTTGGCTGCTGCCCAAGTTACAAAGATAACACGGGTGTGGCTTCTTGTCTGTCTTCTCCCTTTTCATTTTCCAAGATACAAAATTATAGTAGAACATTGAATGTTCTTCTTATCCTCTGTTCTCATCCTCCCCTCTGCTTGCTCTAGATTGAACACGAAGTCCTCCGATTCTGACTCAAGGCGACCCCATCGGGCAGCGTATCATTGCCCAAGACTGTATGTCTATACAGGAGCAGACAGCCTCATCTTTCTCCTGCAGAGCAACTAGGGGGTTTGAACGGCCGAGCTTGAGATTAGCAGTGCTTAACCCACAGGGCTACCAGGGCTCCAGATTGAGCACTTAACCTAACTCACCGAAGTCGAGTCAATGCCAGCTCGTTGTGACCTTAAAGGACAGGGTTGAACTGCCCTTGTAACTCCTGATGGGAGTGGAAAGTCCTGTCACTTTCCCATGGAGCAACTGGTGGATTTGAACTGCTGACGTGGCCATTAGCAGTCCAATATGTAACCACTGTGCCACCAAAGCTCCTCGACTGAGCACTAGTTCTCAATCAAGAAAAGCTTTGTGTGCCCCAAATTCTGTTTCCGCAGGCACGTCTTAGGCTTGCTATAGAACCCAAAAACCCACTGCCATCGAGTTGATTCCGACCCAGCGCGACTCAGTCGGAATAGAAATGCTCCCTAAGACTTCTGAGGCAACAGACAGCCTCGTCTTTCTCCCATGGAGCGGGTGGTGGGCTCAAACCACTGACCTGGTGGTTAACAACCCGATGCATGACCCACGAGGCCACCAGGGCTCCTGCACACAGGGGCACTGTGCGTCCTTAACTCCCACGGGGCTGCTGGGACTCCTAGGTGCCGGAGTGTGTTGTGAACGCTTCAAGACTCTGCCCGGGGACTGATTGTTAACTAGAACTCTTCCGGCTTTGGGTGTGATTGGGGAACGGGGAGGGGATGAGTGGAATCAGACCACCGAAATGTGACTCTCACAGCCTGCCCCTTCCCAGCTGTGTGGCCTGAGCTTCCTCACACCTGAGTGGCACCGCCTCTCCCTCTCGGGGATGCTGGAAGGCTGGACTGAGTGGGTGCCTGCCCAGTGCTTCCAGCCATGCCTGATTCGCAGCGGTGCCCCACGAGGGCTCGGTGCCCCACGGACCTCCTGGGTCAAGAACCCACCTCAGGAGGCTGGGCATAGCAGTCTCGGGGTGGGGGCAGGCACTGACTTCTGTTTGCTGGCTGAGGGCTCCGTGTCTCTCCCTCCCTGGCCACCCAGGTTGGGTGTGTCCCTGGACCTCGTGTATTCCTTCCCCTGCTGCACCAGCCGCCCCTCGTGGGGAGAGTGAGTCCCGCCAGCCCTCCCTCGGTGGGGTGAGAAGAGAGCGGATACTCACACTCCACAGAGAGGTTGAAGGCAGTGGCCCTCTGGCCGAACTGGTTCTCGGCCACGCACCAGTACTCGCCGTCGTCTTCGGGCGCGACGGCCGGCAGCTCCAGCTGCAGCTCACTCTCGTAGATGACCGTGGCCAGGATCTGCTTCTCCTTGAAGATGGTGAGAATGGGGTCCGGGTGGCTCTGTGTGGAGCAGGAAATGGAGACGGTCTCCCCCTCCACGGCTACCACCGTCCCATTCACTGTCGGCTTCCGGGGCGCATCTGGGGGACAGGAAGGCCAAAGGTCAGAAGGTGCCCCTTCTGCCAGCCAATCCCCGCTCCCCACTGTGACCCCCCTCCCC